AAAAAAAAAAAAAGCAAGAAACAGGATCTTGCTATGTTGCCCAGACTGATCTCAAACTCCTAGGCTCAAACAATCCTCCCTCCTCAGCCTCTCAAATAGCTCTAACTACAGACACCCACCACATGCCTAGCAATTTATCATTTATAAACACTAAGCACATCAGTTTTATATCCTGCCCATTTTTGTCAGTCTTCTAAGCAATAGAAACTGTAATCTTTGTTTTAAAGTAAACTTTACCTCCAAGTGTAATTTGTGATGCCCAGTAGGCTGTAGCGTATGAGTGTCCCCTAGTGCAGGAAGCTGGTTTGCCAATTAGGTGGAGCTTTTTCCTCAATTTGCCCTTTCACCTAATCTCTCATTTATGGGTGTACTTTAGACCCAGGTCTTTGCCAGCAGTGTTCTCACAGTAAAATAGGGTGTCTAACTTTACCTGCCTTTTCTTAGCAGAAGTCCTAGATGCCCTTTACTGGGTAGGAAAAATAAAATTTTACATCTATACCACAAGGGTGCTAATTTCTAAATATAATAGATTCACTATTATTGTTTAGAGCCTAATTCTGACCAAGATATGGTCTTTCTATCCTGGAAATGAGAGTTACAGAAGACACCAAAAAGCCAGAGATTATTTTTTAGGTTACAGATACCAAAGGCCCTATGACCCAGGAGCCAATCTTTTTGAGATGGGGGTCTCACTGTCACTCAGGTTGGAGCAGTGGTGCAATCACAGCTCACTGCGGCCTCAATCTCTTGGGCTAAGGTGACCCACCTCAGCCTCCCAAGTAGCTGGGAGTGTAGGAGTGCACCACCATGCCTGGCTAATTTTTTTTTTTTTTTGAGAAAAGGGGTCTTGCCATCTTACCCAGACTGGTCTCTGGGCTCCTGGACTCAAGCAATCCATGCATCTCAGCTTCCCAAAGTGCTGGGATTATAGTTGTGACCTACCACACACAGCCACAATCCTATCTTCAGTATTTCAGAGACCTAGTCACTTTAGGCATTACTCAAGCTTGTCCTCACATGTATGAGGAAGAAAAATGCTTATTTTGAAATACAGTGAAGTGTCACTCAGTGAGGTGTGTTAGGGTAAATTTTGAAATGAAGTTATTTCTCAAAATCTAAGGAACTACTTAAAGTCAAAAACAGCCAGGACTTTGGAATTCATGCTAAACTGAAAGCAGAGTTTATTTCAAATTCAGTCTCCCCAAACTCCTATAAAATTAAGGTTGTATGTGGCAAATTTTTAAAAACAAGGTAAACAGTTGCCAGCTGCAACAGTAATCATTAGCTTTCAAGAGATCTTTATTGTATGAAGTTTCTCCTTGTTGAGATCTATCAATTGTTAAGTCCAACGGGATTATTTTATGCTTAGACTTTAGTTGAATAAAACATCTTTTCCCAGAATTCCCTTCTCTGAAGAAACAGAACCATCTGTGACACTGATCACATTCCTTGCTTTTTAAGCATAATTCATCCTAAAGATGCTACCTTAAATATACTTATTTTAAGGAAAGTTAATTACTTTGTAACATGAGCTAACAAAAAATAAACGATGGCCCACCCACGTGCTGTGGCTCATGCCTATAATCCCAGCACATTGGGAGGCTGAGGCAGGCGGATCACATGTCAGATCAAGACCATCCTGGCCAACACGGTGAAACCCGCATCTCTACTAAAAACACAAAAATTGGCTTGGCATGATGGGTGGGCATCTGTAATCCCAGCTACTCAGGAGGCCAAGGCAGAACTGCTTGAACCTGGGAGGTGGAGGCTGCAGTGAGCCAACAACACACCACTGCACTCCAGGATGGGTGAGATTGTCTCAAAACAAAAAAATTCATGTCAGGCACAGTAGCTCATGCCTATAATCCCAGCACTTTTGGAGGCCAGATCACCTGAGGTCAGTTCAAGACCAGCCTGGCAAACATCTCTACTAAAAATACAAAAATTAGCCAGTCACGATGCCAGGTGCCTTTAGTCCCAGCTACTTGAGAGGCTGAGGTGTGAGAATAGCTTGAATCCAGGAGGTGGAGGTTGCAATGAGTAGATACGCCATTGCACCCCTGCTCAGGGAACAGAAGTTGCACTGAGCTGAGATCAACACCACTGCACTTGAGGCTAGACTCAGTCTCAAAAAAAATTCAGAGGGTAACCGGAAATGTATTTAAACAAGTTTTATCATTAACGGGACTAAAGTGCTTTAGCCCAGACACTCAGATTAGTAAAACCGTTATTGCTAAACGTTTCCCGACAAATATATAACCACAGCTACATTGACATTCAAATTAAAATTGTCCCACCTTGAATTTTGACTCCTTGGTCCATCTTTCCCTGATAACGTAAATTCTGGCAGATTGAAGTAACCAGTTGGCCCCTTACACCCACTACTTTTGGCATCCCTAAACACTTGTTTGCCAAAAACCCATATGGAATTATCACTAGTTGGACATGACTTTCTCAAACGGAGCTCCACCAATACTTTAAACTCAAGATCAATTGACACAAGGGCCTATTAAACCCTGACAATTTACTCATTTAGAAAATTAGGCAACATTGCACTTTAATGCAGGATACCTTGTAACACCTATAAAATTTTAATTGGCTACGCTGTTAATAAAGCAAATGCCCTGGAGTTATAATAGCCTTTGAATGAGATTTATGCTTACAACTAAAGATTAACAGATGAAAAGCACTGTCCTTTTTGAAGTAATCACTCCATACTCCAGATGGATTGCAGCCATTTATTGAAATTGGAGACATTTTTTAATCTTGTTGAGACTCCGTATCAGGCTGTCTACAAAGTCCACTGGGAGGCCAAGGATCATTTGAGCCCAGGAATTTAAGGCTGTGGTGAGCCTCAAAGGGCCACTGCACTACAGCGTGGGTGAGGAAAGACCCTGTCTCAGAAAAGAAGAAGACAACTTTTAGCCACATTTCCAGACTTAAATTAAAATGCTACATGGGGAATGCAGAATATCAGATATTTTATTGTCATCAAGTAATCAGTGAGAGAGTTCAAGTTGGAGTGAGATCATCATGTATTCTGCAATTACAATAGTCCCAATATTTCCAATCCTCACCTTTCAAGGGCCAAACTGCATGCTTGCTTACTGTGGTCATTAAAAACTCTGAAAACAAAGACAACATGTTAATCATGGCAAAAAACTAATGTGTGTTTCTTGTTACTACAGTAACCTCAGAATCAAAATGGAACGGTTTTACAGTGATATCATTATATTTCATTTGGCAGAATCATTACATCATTGGTTACACTGAAAATTATCACATGTACCAGAAACTGACTCACCTAGTTTTTAGGTTAGCAGGTCTGCCTGTTACAAGATGAAAAATTCCATTTAAAACAGATCTGCCTGTTAGAAGATGAAAGACGATTCCATTTAAAATTTGCCCTACTCAATTTCCTTCTCAGTCACATTTTATTCAACTTCCTTTTCAGTCACATTTTAAATTTTAAACAGCTAAACACTCCCATCTACAGATTAGGGTGTATACACCACCAAAACATCCTTTGCCACCTTAAAATAGCTTCAACTAACCTGCATTTCTTCAATCATGAATTCCGAGTCCTGAAATTAACGGACAATACACAGTAAGACAAACTTACATACAATTAAGAGTAATCCAAATCACGAAAAATTATATAGAATGGCTATATTTCCCTTTTCAAGGGTATAAACTGGAGTGTTACAGCCAGATACATCAGATAGGAGCGAAAGACTTAATACTGCTCATCAGTGTTAGTCTGCTGAACTATGTTATCATCATTGTATTGGCTTTTCAACACTTAAAAACCATACTTGAGGCAGGGCATGGTGGCTCACACCTGTAATCCCAGCATTTTGGGAGGTCGAGGAGGGTACAAGGTCAGGAGTTCAAGACCAGCCTGGACAACATGGTGAAAACCCATCTCTACTAAAAATACACAAATTAGTCAGGTGTGGTGATGTGCACCTGTAGTCCCAGCTACTCGGGAGGCTGGGGCAGCAGAATCACTTGAACTCAGGAGGCGGAGGCTGCAGTGAGCTGCGATCATACCACTGCACTCCATTCTGGACAACAGAGCAAGACTGTCTCAAAAAAGAAAACAAAAAAACCATGCTTGAGACTGCTATACCTTTGTTTCTTTAAAACGTGCACCACAAATTGCTCCACACGGTGTAGTCAAACCGACTCTCCACACCTGCAGAAATTTAATCTCCTTTACCAATAGGTAGTAAAGTAAGTAGATTTTTAAAAGATTTCCCAGCTACTGTTTCAGTTTAAGATTAATCTCCATTTTCTTTCAGAGAGATTCCCATCTGTTTTAATTTTAAAATCATCACTAACAGTATCTCACTCAATAAATATGTTAATATCAATAAAAAATATACCTTTAAAAGGTCTCCGAAATCTGCACCTGAAAAAGTTTAACACCATTTCCTACAATGAATATCACTTCTCAAAGTAAGTAATATTCAAGTATTTACTTTCAAAAATCTTATCCAATACTTTTAAATAACTGCTTTAATACAGGACTTTTCATACTACCTACTTTACAAAATTTTATAACAAGACAAATCCCTAACACAGTCAATCAATTAGTAAGATCACATTTCAGACGCCAGCCACAAACATGAAAGGAACTGTCTTCATGTCCTTACCCAAGCAAGCCATCCATGGATAAAAACGTTACCAGCTGCAATACAAATGAGGGCTTCCATTAAAATGCTGAACATCATTAAACTCTTCTTTTCAAAGTTGTCTGTCACAGGGTTCTTCAGTGTTAACTTTGTCTACATGCTCAATTCAGGTCAGACATTTGATCAACATCATTACACAAACCCCATTCCAAACATGCTCAAGGAAAATACACAAATGCCATTCCAGGCAATATTTGTCAGCCAAGCCAAGCCAAGCCGTAAGCCAGTAGCTCAGCAGTAAGCGTATCAGTAGAAGCATTCTCATTAAGTCCATCTACTTACCAGAATCCATTAAGCTGGTCCAGGCAAGTTAGATTCCACCTAAGAAATTAAGAGTGGTCTTAGAATAGCCACAGATGAGTTTTCTCCCCCTGCCTAAACTAACAAATGCCTTTAGTCAGTTAGAGCTAATTAAGACCTTCATGTTCAGTCAGTATTTGCTTATCATCATTCAGGCTGCATTTACAATCTCTCTTACTAATTGTAACAGGACGAGAATCTGGTATTTATTTCATGCATTCAGCACTCATGGGAAGAGTGCATAATGCACATTAAGAATTTAACTCTAGGCCGGGCACGGTGGCTCAAGCCTGTAATCCCAGCACTTTGGGAGGCCGAGGCGGGTGGATCACGAGGTCAAGAGATCGAGACCATCCTGGTCAACATG